CGTGCCCCGGACATCCATTAACGTTTTATACTACATCTCTGCCCCCGCCAAAGCTGCTCGGGTTTGTTTACCGCGGCCCCACGCTCCCCCACCCGCCTGCACCCTGTCAACGGCACTTTGGGGCAAAATTTTGGAACAGACAGATGCTCCGCCCACCCTCCTCCCCAGAACCAGCTGAAGCTCCCCAGTTCGGGGCGCCGAAATAGGTTTCGTCACACGATGTGGGGTACCGTATTTTTTACAAGCAAACAAGCATCCAAAAAAAAAAATTCAAACTGCACCGTCGGGCCAATGGGGAAGGAGCGGGAGGTGGGCGGAGGAAGAGCGCGGCGGGCGGGCGCGGGGGCTGGTACCGCAGGGGATTCGTGAAAACGCGCCGGGCGCAAGGTTTGGGGCTTTTTTTTTTTTTTTTTTTTTTTTTCCTTCCCTTTCCTCCCAAACCAGCTAAAGCGCGAGAAGCTGGAGCCTTTCGGATCCACCTTAAATTTTCAGTGGACTCGGCGCAGGGGTCAGTGGGCGCAGCCAATGCCAATCAAGTTTACAACCACCAGCCCGGGAGGGAAAAAAGAGAGGAAAAAAATAATCTTCAAGTTCCCTAGTCCTATACACACTCGGACGGACGCACGCACTCACATACGCGGGCACACAAAAGGAAGCGGGGGGGGGGGGGGGGAACCGGCGCCCTTGGGAGGAGGGTGGGGGTAAATGTTTGCAAAACGCTCGTTTGGGGCTCGGTGCCCGCGGCCCGAGCGCTCGGGGAAGGCGCGCGGGAAGCGCGGCCCGACCCGAGCGCCATGATGGTCGCCGCGGTTCGGAGCCCATTTTCTGGAGGGGGAGCTGCAATGATGCAATCCCCCGGCCCCGCGTCCCGGCTGCGCGCCCTTCTCCCTGCCTTTTCTTAGCGTTCCTTTGAGGCGCGTCGACGCTTCGCGCCCAACACGCATCGATTTCTTGTTGTATTTTGTGCTTTCTGATTCCTGCCTACTGTGTGTCCCCACGCGAGACAGGCCTGGGACTTGAGTGTCCGTGTAAATACTTTCGCTTCTGCAGGGTCTGACTGAGGCTGACCCCACCCCACTCCACCCCACCCCCACGCGAGCCAAGATCCGGGAGGTTTCCTCCCCCTTACCCCGCCGTGGATGAGGCGGGGGTGGGGGGATCTAGCCTGACTGTGGGCGCTGCTTCTCTGCCTCCGCCCCCCTCCCCAGTTTCGCTTACAGGATTTTTACCTTACTGTTGGCAGGGAGGGAGGGGAGCGGGCGTAGGGTGTGGCTCAGGTAAAAGAGATGGCAAATTTAAAAAAGAAATTCGCACTCTGAAAAACAGATTGGAGATCCAGATAGGCTTTTAAAACACCTTTTTCAGTCCTAAAAAGCTTATGAAGAGCAAGTGTTACGCTCACAATGATGAAGATGAAATGGCGAAGACGGCGTTTCCCGGCCGCCGGGAAAGGTCGCCTGGCGCGGCCGGGGCGGTGGGCGCACCGGGGCCTGAAAGGCCGCGCGCCCCGCTCCCATCCTGTGGATTTTTACGGTCCCTTCTGTCCCCCAGTCATGCCCCTGGCCCCACGTTTTCCTATTTCTTCCCTGCCCCAGTCCGACGCGTTGGACAGCTGGGGATGCGATGGGGGGTGGGGGTGGGGGGAGCTAGATTTTGCAAAACGGCTGTAAAGGAGGAAGCGACCCCGCAAGCGGCTGTGGCGCTCGGCCCCTCCTGCGCGTCGCTGCGGTCCTCCTTGGCCGCCGGCGAGCCGGGAAGCCTTTCGAAATGCGCGGGGCTGCGGATCATTGGAGCCCAGGGTGGGGGTGGGAGCGGGCTGCTGCCCCGGAGGGTCCGAAGATTCGGAAAGGTTCTCCCCTTCGCTCAGATCCCCCCCACCGATCTGGAATATGGCAGGGTGCTTGGTGTAGAGGGTCTGACTGTGGAGAGAAGTAGGGGCTTCCGCTTCTTTCTCAACCCAGAGGAGAGATGATGAGGGAGGAAAGTTTCCGAGAAACCGCCCCGCGCCGCTGCGCGGGCCGGGGAGCAGCCGCCCTCCACGGCCTGCGGGGCGCCCCGAGCGCGGGAACTGCGCGCAGCCACCCCGGCGGCGCGGGCGCTGCAAGTGGCAGAAATGCAGCGAGACTTGATGGCCTTTTCGTCGCGGGGCGCCAGCCAGCCCGACGCCGCAACTGCCGCGGCAGGCGGGAGCGGGGCTTCGGGGCAGTTTGGGGAGACGACGGCGCAGTGGCCGGGGGAGCGGAGCAGGGTTTGGCTGGCGCCGGCTGCCGCGACCCCTCAGAGGGACGCCCGCGGCGGGCCCAGCGGTCCGGGACCAGGGAAGGGACGCTCCGAATCTCGGGGACGCACTTGGAGAGTTGACACAGACGTGTAAAGGATCCACCCGGTGACTTGGGGGCTGCGTTTCTGTGAACGTGCCTGGCGCGGCGAGCATCCACTTCTTCCTGGCCCTACACTCCTAAAACGCAGTCTCTAAAAATTCACATTAAGGATGCCGCTTGAGGGAAGGAAAATAGGGTGCAGGCAGCAATTAAGAGGATTTTTTCCTCTGTTAGAGACACTTTTTAAGTACTCTTTTTGGTTCAGAGAAACTAATTTTATTTCATTATTTCCTGACTCTCCATTCCTTCCTCCCCATTTTGAATTGTTTTTCTTGCTTTCTCAGTGTCTTCCTGAAAAACACCCTGTATGCGTGTTTTGAATAGAATCACAAAAACACCTTTAGCCTTTAATTAAAATAATACCTACTTGGAAGATGTAGCTCCGCCACCAAAGGACCTTCTTTTCTCCTTCCCGGCAGCCGAAGAGAGTCAACTCTGCTTTTTTTTTTTTTTTTTTTTTTTTTTTTTTTGCTTTGCTTTCTTCTTTTTTTTTTTCTTTAACAGCTTCAGGTCAAAATAAGTTTTAACTGTCTTGTGTAGAGCCCCCTTTGGGGTGCAATAATGTAAATGCTAGTATTTCAGGTAAACAATTTAATCCAAGTTCAAATGTTTGCGATTTAACCATTTGCAGAATCCTAGAAAAAAAAAATTTACACCTTAGCCACATTTTTAAGAGAATGTGTAATAACAGGAATCATTTTTAGTAAATTTGACTTTAAAATACCTTGTCTAAGTTTTTATTAAAGTAAAAAATATCTTACCTCTGCCACGTCAACATGGGCCCCAAACCCTCAGATTTGGTATTTAGATTAACCAGTCTTGGGTTGTGTAGATTATAACCAGGAAATTTCAAAATTGAAGGATTTGTTATGACCAGTTTGAAGAATACCTGTTCCGTCTAAATTAGTGTGGAATTCCAATTTCTAAAGGACCTATATATATCTAAATATTTTTGACAAGAGGTGTAGATTAGGTGGTCTGAACAATCGCTCTAATTTCTCACAACACTTGCATGTGTAAATACAGAATTTAGAGAAGTCACCATGTTACTTTCATTTTCAGTCCTGCAAATGTATGAACAGTCTACACTTAGGTAAAAATGTTTGAGTCGGACACATATCCTAGAAGATATAAATATTGGAACTAATGGAGATTTGACAATCTTATTTATATGAAAATGTGGCTTTCCACGTCTAAAGCTTTGTTCACGCATACAGAACTAAGTGGAAAATACTATCACATTCAGAACCACATAAACATCATCTGAGATGTGGGCCTAAATTATCAAGATATTTGCCACTTCGTGTTATATTTGTGTAAATACACCCATAATGCCAGGTCAAATACCTCAAAGCTTAGTAAAGCACATTACAGTTCAACTTGATAGCTATGGAAGTTTTCTTTATTGATTGCTTGATGTGTAACAATAATTGGCATCTTTTTCACACATTACAAAAAATTATACTTGGCTCAGTATGCAACCTTTTAAGCATAGCCATATTATTTAACAGAAGAAGGGAAAAAATCTATTCTACCCAATACAGCATTTACAAATGCACAAAACATGCCACTTTGGCTTGTATATGGTCTAGATTAAAAAAAAAAAATCTCTTTTTAACATAAATAAGTTAGTATAATTTTTCAGTGTCTTTACAGAGTTATGTACACAGGTACACTTCAAATGGTTTTGTTTCATACACATACACAGGCAATGTAAAAATACTGTTTAAAGATGTAGTATCCATTTCAGTAATTCCACGTATGCTTTTCTCTATATGCACTTTCCTTTAAAAACACCATTTCCTTGGGGCAAATTAACAAATAAAATGAGAACCTTTAAATTAAAATTATTTCATTATTTTTATGTGAAGTTACTGAAAGATGTTTAAAAAATATCCAAGGTATTAGAATTATTTTGACTGTGTCTACACAGCTCAAAGTCCAAAGAAAATTAAATCTTCTCAGCAAACCTGATAAAAATTAGATGGTTAAATCTGAGCATTTAGAACTCCCCCCATACACCCGATACTTGCCCAGAATTACCTGAAAGGATTACCTAACTGCTGAATCATTAAATGGTAAATTCCAATTTTAAGAGAAACTGAAGGGGGGGCGGGGGGAATAAGAGGATAGTTTTTTGTTTAAAAAAAAAAAAAAAAGCCATTTGCCACTACATAACGGAATCATCAGGGCTCCCAAATGAGAAAAAGCTTCATGTACAAAAAAATTAACAATTACTTGCAACCAGTGTACAAATTTGGATGATTTTTTAAAAATGAATTATCAGTTTTCACTGAAAGAGACATTACATCTTTAAAGAAAACAATTCAAACCCTTCCCCAAAACTGCTTCTCTTCATGCAAGTCAAATATTTTTCTCCTTGCTCTAAATGGAAGCAAGCTCTTCAGAACCCCCCCCCTCACGCCAATTCCTCAGCCCCACCCTGCCGTCCCTCCCCCCAAAGTTTATGTGCTACATAAAAGGTAAAAACTATATACACAGGTAGTACAATGAAGCAAATAAGGAAAAACCTAATTGCACAATGCTACATCCAATGCTTTTAGAGGCAGATCATTTAAGAGTGCCTAAAATTTTAGTGTTATTGTGTTGTTGCTTTTCAGTGCTTATACAGGATGTCCACTCCATGGAGTCCGCGATATGTATTTAAAATTTTTAATTTATATCTTCCTTGCTTCACCAAGCAGTGATGTATCTGATAAACAAGGAAACATGCTCTTAATTCTGCAAAAGAAACAAGAAGAAAGAATTAGGAGAAAAAGCACTAGAATAGCATTACCAATAAAGTACAGGAATTATTTCGTCACTGTCTTAGTTGTGAAATACCTGAGCAATGGAAAAGAAAGTGTGTACTAAAAGCTGATGACCATAGTCCTCTCCATCCAACGTTTCCTTCACTGGATTTTTTACTTTTCTCCGTGTTGTTTATTTTTGTTTAGAGGAGTGGGATCTCAACAGTGGGGAGATTTGTCCCCCAGGGGACGTGTGGCAATGTTTGGAGACATTTTAGGTTGTCACACTGGGGGTGGGAGGTTGCTACTGGCATCTGTTGGGAAAGGCCAGGGCTGCTGCCAAACATTCTACTAATGTACAGGACAGCCTCCCACAACAAAGAATTATTCAGCCCAAAATGTCAATAGTGCAGAGGTTGAGAAACCCTGGTCTAGAGAATCGGGGTCAAAGACAGTGAGAAAGAAAGGAGAATTAAGAAACTGTAACACTTAAGAGTATCAAAGTTTTCTAAATTTGAAAAATAAGTGGAACTGTAACTTATAAATGCTCTCCAAAGAAAATTCTATTAACTTTTTTTTTCAAAATATTATTGTTTCTCAGTCATATGCAAAATATACACAAGAATGCTTTTGAGGAGGTCCTTACCATTATTTCTAGTATTCTCTGAACTGGCAATGTTTACTAATAAATGCCTCTCTCTATGTCAGAATGGGACCAGATCAAAATCCAATAGGTGTGATTCACTGTGGCTCATCTGATGAGCTAAGCTTCAGGTCACAAACCACAAGTCCCAAGCTGCAGGTCGCTTCAGAAAATTTTTTTCATCCACTTTTCCCACTTCGTATACAGCTGTAATATAGAAGTCCTATAGTGATGTTCTGTATAACCTTTGAAAAATGCCAGATGTGTGTGAAGAAGTCATATATATGACACTATGATTTAAAAACACAACAAACTTGAATCTCACCTTAATCTCTAGGTTCCTTTATTTTTTTTTTTATAAATGAGGATTTTTAAAAGCCAGGATCAACATGTACTAAAATCTCTTTATGTGCTAAGCTATGAGTGCATGGGGGGGGGATGGGGGGGGGGGAGAGGTCACGGTTCTTATCAGTAAGAAGTTTACAAACTATTAACATATGCACTTTGATCATTATGGATAGCCAATCCACGGTAAGTTGAGGGCTGAATTATTCAAATTAGCTGTCCATATTGACCAGATTTTAGTAGATGGAAAAAAATCTCCACTTCTCTTCTGTGGGGTAGACCTGCCCTTGCCGGCCCTTATGACTATTCACAGTTTCCCCTAAAATATCCAAATCATCCTGTTATAGCACAGTTAGCATACACATGCTGACGTGTTCCTGGATTGCTTACTCCAGCAGAGTTAATTTAACTTCTGCTTTGTGACTTCGGAAGTTATCATCAGAAATTCTGTAGGAACCTTAGTATTTTTGAGGTTTCCGGTTTGGTTTTTTTAAATACACAGGGTTCCTTTCCTGTTCCCAAAACTTGTAAGAAAACAGGGAAAGCGGCAGTTTATGAAAACGATAAAGATAAAAGCATGTAACCATTCGGTTAACCAAATAGGAACCATTTGTACCTAACTTTTCCCTCAAATTTTAATCATTTACTTGCCGTTTTCCTACGTATGGCTCGAAATCTGTTACAGACTCAACTTGAATCCCTGGGAAATGAACTCTCATGAAGTGAGACTGGGGCATACCCCAGTTCTTGTTCAGAAGAAGTTAAGAACCTACTGTTCCCCAACAGGTTTTGGTGGGATTCACAGGGAATTAATCGGCCTTCTATCCATTGGGCCTTGGTCACAAGTAGTTGCCGAGGACACTTGGTCTAGTCATTCCATGTTTCAAGGAAAAATGATGTCAGGACGTGGAAAGCGTGAAGCACCACAGTACCCCGGAATCCAGTGATGCCCCAGCCTTTCCCATTCCTATTTTTTGACCTCACAAAATATAAACAAAAACAAAAGCCCACAAACTCTATAATCTGCCAGCAACCACTAAGATCAGGTTATCTTGGGGTTTGAAAGCCCATTTCGGGATGTAAGTTACTTGCGCCTAGCCATCAACCCACCGAGGAGTTTACGTTTGACGTCTTCTCAGGCCAGGCTTCTTGGGCGTCTGCTCCACTGAACCCGCGTTCGGGGAACCGTCTGAGACATTTTCTTCTGTTCTGTTGGCTCTTTTGTTTTGAGGAGAGGAATCTAAGGGCAGGAGGGAATTTTAAAAAGAACACACAATCTTTATTGGAAAAACAATGGCTGACAGAAGTTGGCACAATAGGTAGGGGATGAAAAACCCACACCTCCACCCACAATCCTGGACCCGTCATTCCCAGTGGCCTTTAAGGGCACAGAATGAGGTTGTTTTCACATAACAGAAAGTGTATTCTACGCCCCAAAGCTCTCTGTCCATTGCGAAGACGGAGGCCGTGGATACACATCCCAACGCTGTCACAGACCCACCGCTGGCTAGCGGGGAGGAACTGCCATGTTTTCGGTTAGAGAAATTATCAGATAATACCATCTCAGGCTCCCGACTTAAAAATAATAAACAGGCAAGCAGTCAGCCGGATAGCATTTAAAACCCAAGATTAGGCCACTTCGCTCCCCGCAAGCTAAATCAGAATACGCTACAAAAGTAAGTAAATAAATAAATGAATAATAAACAAACAAACAAACAAACAAATAAAAAGCTGAGGTTAAGACCCTCAAGCAGGCAAAGCGGTGCCCCGGACGGACAGACAGACAGACAGACAGACAGACATTTTCTGCTTGGGGAAGGGTCATTACCATCTGTAGCAGGTCGCTTCCTTATCCCAGGGCACTGCTCCGCTAACCCCGTCTGGTTGTCCGATGTATCAGTCTTTTGGTCTACCAAATGTGTGTCCTCTGTGTTTGCCTGAGACCCAATTAAAGGCACCGCCTGGCGGTTCCCGCTGACATCCTGGCTCTCCTGCGCCGGCACCTTGCAGGCGCCTTTGGGTGGCCGCGGGGGTCTGTAGTAGAACTCGGGCAAGCTGCCCTTTTCCACCTCTTGCCACTCGTATTTGCCCTCCAGGGGCTTGTGATTCTGGAAATCAAAATTCCACTTGCGCTGGCTTGCCTCTTCCATGTCTCTGCAGTGCTTCTCCAAGTCCCGGGTCAACTCTTCGTGGTTGACCGGGCCGAAGAGGTTCCTGCAGGCGGAGGGCTTGGGATACTCCGCCTGTCTGGCGTCCATCCGCTCCAGGCTCGGGCTCCCGTTAGACACTCGCACGTTTGACATCTTCCTCCCGGGTCTCTACAACCGCCTCGCGCGCGCTCTCCGAAAACAAAACTGAACAAAACAAAACGCCCCGACCCAGCCCGAACCCCTCTTATAAGCCCTGCGACTGCGCTCCGAGCCAAGAGAAACAAACACGGACAAGTAACTGCCCGAGCGTCAGGGGCGCGCTGGCTCTGGGGGAGGGGTGAGGGGAAGCCCCGGCCAGGCAGCCGAGCCGCCGCCGCTCAAGTGTACCGGCGAGCGGGAGGGCGGGGAGGGGAGGGGAGAGGAGAGAGGAGGGGGGTGGCAAAGCCAGTCCAGGTCCCGGGCTGCTGCGAGCCCGCGGGTCCCGCCAACCGAGCGGCTCTCCAAACCTTGGCGGCGTCGGAGTCGCGGAGCGGCGAGGCTCTGGGGACAGGGGAGGGGGAGAAAAACACCCCGAAAAGACGAGCCCCCTTTTTTTAGTTGCCCAATATGGCGGTGGAAGGGAGGCTGACGAAGAAGAAAATGATTGACACCGCAAGTCTATTTAAACAGAGGAGGAGATCCATTGGTTGCGGCGCCGGGAGCCGCCCCGCCGCGGCTGGCAAGCCCGGCCTTAAGGTGGCCCGGCGCGTCCCCGCCCGCGCGCGCGCGCGCGCGCGCCGACTCCCGACAGCGCCGCCCGGAGATTGGCTGGTCGCGTGACTGCCGGAGGTGCGCCGCTGCCAGCAAACCTGCTCTGGCTGGCCTCGGAGAAATTAAAAACGAGACAAACAAACTAGCCAAACGACCGGGGAGCCGGGGAGGGGCGGGGGCGGCGGGACCTCGGGTTCAGGTCACCGCGCTGCGCTGGCTGGCGCGCCCACTCCGCGCCCGGGAAACCGAGGGGCTGGATCAGATGATCTCCAAGGTGGCTAGCGGCTCGTTTTACGCCTCGGTTGGCGATCGTGTTTTCCCGGCACTCGCCGGGCCGCGGGTGCGGGCCACTGGGGGAGGAGGCGGACAGTGGGAGTTCTGCCCCCAGCTGGGCTCTCGCCGGTGGCCCCAACCTCTGGCACTGCGGGGCTGGGGGCGGGGGAGCCTTCGCCGAGGGCCTGGGAGCCCCCCTGCCTGGGTGCCTCGGCTGTGGGTGAGCAGTGGTTAGCTCACCCTTAACCTAGAAGTCTCTGCTCTTCTGGGGGGTGGCGGGAGGTTGTGGAAGAGGCCAAAGCGAACGTGGGCGCAGCATTTGTAATCTAGTCTGAACCCAAGCTCTCTCCCTCAATAAAAATAAGGATTTCAAGATCAAAAACTCGACTGGTCTCCCAGGTCCCTAATAAAACCTGTAGCTGTCTCAGACACAGGTTTCAAAAGCGAGGTCACACCCCTGACCCAGGTTCTTGCTTCCCGAGCACATTTAAGGCCACTGACATGGGCTGCGTGTGGGAACTCGTCTCCTCTTTGTATTTTTCACTTCTTTCCCGGGTTGTAGCAGTTTCCTCTACCTGAGTCCCGCCGCCAAATACAACAGCTCCTTCCTTCCTCCACCTTTCCCTCCCACTAGATTCACTGCTACAACCCACCCAGAGCAAAATTTAGATGCAAGTGAATGCCTTTACATAGCTACAGATCGTTGAAGGGTGAAAGTAATCTGAAAGTCCAGATTATGAAATGATTCATAAAACCACAGCAACCCTGTCCTCACTTCTGATACTATTATTTGGGCGTTTCTCTGCTCCCCGTTACAACTTGCAATTATCTATCAACATGATCATGAGCAGGATGGTGAGAGTTAAAGATGTATGGGGAGGGCTGTCGTTTCTGAGACACCGGACTCCACCACCGGCCCATACATATAATCTTGGTTTGGGTCAAAGTGGATACATTTTACTGGAAACTAATCTCCTTCACTTCTAATAGTACACAGCAGCAATGTTTTCTTACGCATCTATGCTACAGATGAGTTTGATTTTTAACTTTTCTTAACCACGTATTGTTCCAAAGTGTGTTCCACTTTGTGTGCCTGCCTCACCTCGGCACTCCAGAATGTAAGAGCTGGCAGGGACCTTCAGAACCCTGTGGCTCAAACCCTCTCTTTCCACCACTGAGGAAATTGAGAGCAGGAGAGGTTTCCTGTCCAGGGACACACATCCAGTAGATGGCAGAGCCAGGTCTCCTAACCCTCAGGCTGGTTCATTTTCTCTTTCTTTCCTTCCTAATGGTTCAGGTTTTGCCTGGATTCGCCTGTGCTGTAGTCTGCAGATCCTCCTCTCTTACAAGGGATTCAAAATGGCTGCTGCTCATTCCCTGGGCTGCCTGCAGATGTTTCCTAGATGTGGCCTGTGGTCACTGATATTTATATGCAGCTGTCACTGGCCTTTGGTATCACTATGCACTAGTTCAACTAAAACGCAGATTTCAGAAGGCCAAGGGTGATGATACCCAAGAGAGCAGTGAGAGAGGCAGTGCCCAAAACTAGTTTCAAAGTCAGGACTTTCCACCTGATTGACAGAAAATATTTCACCTGCGATCCACGTGAGAGGTCTCACCTTTATTTTTGTACACCTAAGGAGCCATACTTAATTTCCTGGATTAGAGAAGGGGGGAGAGGGACAGGAAAATTAGGTAGGCCTCAAAACCATATTTTATACACTATTCCCAGAATTAGATCACTGTTGACATTTTAACATAATTGCTAGACTACCCAGGAATTCTGTATTATACATAAGCATAAATCCACATGTATAAATACACAAACTACCACATAGATGTAAAAGGAGATATTCTAGAGTATTACAACATACCACAAGAGTTTGATTTTATTCATGGAATTAATATCTTACATAAAAGTAGAAAATTAATATTTCTCTCCCCTACACACCCTGAATCTTTCTTCAATTAATATGTGGGAGCACCATTTTGTTGCTTTGTTACTCTGGAAGAGTAAATGAGTCACAGTCACGCCACCTTAAGAAAGGCTGTGCTTAAATCGACCTTGCTGCGATCTGAAAGCGTTTTGGTTACAGGCAAGGCACCGGAGACCGGTAAGGCAAATAATGAGTAGTAGCGACGAAGCGTGAAAAAAATACTATGGAGTCCCCAAGGGAAGAGGGAACGCGGAGATCCGAGCGAGCGCCATCCTCCTTGCGGAAAGTGGGCGGCTGCAAAAGAGTAAGCCAGGGTGAAAATTTTCAGAAAAACACTGCGAAGGCGGAGCTTGGGTAGAAGACAGAAAGTTCCTCTCGCACTGCTCTAAAATGGGCTCTGCTTCCCCAAGACCCAGAATCTAGTCCTGAGCCGTGTTTCTGTCGTTTTCACCCCTGACGGTTTCCTACTTAGAGCTGAGAAGCGTCGCGTAAGCCAGCCAAGATTTCTGTGTCCTTCACAAACTGACACAGAAGCAGACACCAAAATAACTTTAAACACCTGCGTAGTAGACAAGGGTCCAAACGGGGTGGTAGGGCCAGCTCGCCTCCCAGATGCAGTCCTAGGGGCGAGGATGGGGGGTGGGTACTTGCGCAGCCCCGAATGTTTCTGCGAAAGTCCGAGTTTCCTGGCCCAGTTGCCCCTCCCACCACAAGTACGAGCTTTTAATCCTTCCTGGACGATGTTGATAATAAGGCAGCTTTCACTCAATTTCACTATCCTCCTAAACCCACATACTTTTACAGTTTGAAGATTTCACGGTCATCTGTTTCTGACATTTTCATTCAACTTAACAAATATTTATTAGGCCCCTTCCATTAATTTGCTTATTCTTTTTTTCTTTCAACAAATAGTTACAGACTGCCTTGGATATGCCAGGCCTTATCCTAGGCCCTGGGGATAGAGAAGTAAACAAACAGATTTAGACTAGGATGAAGCTTACTTCTAAGTAGGGGGAGGGGAGACAGAAAATAAACCCCAAAATACATGACTAAAATACATACTATGTAAGGAAGTGATACATGCTATGGAGAAACCCTAAGCAGAGGAAAGGAAAACAAAGGGTTTGTGAAGTCCCTGTGCGAACAGAGTGGCAGAGAAATGCCTCATTGAGAAATTGGCCTTGGAGAAGCTCAGAAGGCTTGAGAAAGCAAGCCGTGCGGGTAGCTGGGGAAAGGGTATCCCAGTAAAAGGGACAGCAAATGGAAAACCCCTGATGTGAGATCTTTGTCCGATGTCTTCCAGGAACAGCAAGGAGCAAGAGGAGAGTGGTAACAGAAACTCAGGTCGTACAAGACCATGTAGGCCTGTGTGGAGTTTTTATCATGGGAAGCCACTGGGACACTAGGAAGTTCTGAGCAGGGGAATAATGTGATCTTACCGTGTTTAAGGTATTCCCCACGGCATTATTCTCAGCAGCAGTGGGGGTAAAAGGATGACTTAAGTCACAAAGCCTGCCTTTAGGGAGTATACTTCAGAGGTGTGGGAGGCCACCAGGTGCACAAAAAGCTACAGAGGTAGAAGGCAATACATGGAAGAACAGAAAGAGGAAGTCTTCAAGGAAGTGTTCAAGTCAGTTCTTGAAAAAATGAGAAAAATGTCAAGATTATAAGGATGTATTGGTGGGGCTGGTAGTTGGGGGATGGGATCAGACAGTTGGCAGGCCATGGATGGCATGCTGAAAAAAAATCTGTTTATTCAACAAGCAATGGGAACTGATGGAGCTTTTGGTGCAGTAAATAATGTGATCACTGTCCAGGCTTGTCTCTTGAACAAGAGCAAGCCTGGGCCCTGAGAGACAGTGTCCAGGGACAGAGCTAAATGGAAAGCTGGGTAGACAGCCCCATTATGGTGTTAATCCAAAGGAAGCTGGTTGTTGGGCAAAGTGTAATGTGAGGCAAGAGGGTAGAAGCATGGACCATGAGACCAGGATGAGAGTATTTGGAACAGAAGGTGGGAGGCAATCTGGCATGATCACCTGAGCTACAGAGGCATAGCTCTAGATGCTTTGTATGTGGTGATTACAGCCCCCAGAGTAAGTGGAGACGTAAGTGTTAAGGGGCCCAAACTGTCTTGGACAATCAGATCTCTGTATTAGGAAGTGGCATCTGACAAGAGTAAAACGTGGGTCCGATGAACCTGGAGAGGCTGACTCAGTGAGGTAATTTTGGAGCCTGATTGCAGTTGTTCAAGCAAGAGACACAACAGCATTAAGCAGGGCTGTGGAGGAGGGAATGAAATGTACAGAACGAATGTAGGATTGCCTCGGTAGTTAGAAAGGATAAGGAGATTAGAGAAAGATGGAGAAATGGAGGACAACTTTAAGGACTCAAGGTTGGGTATTTCAGAAATACTGTCATTAACGAAGAACAGTAACACAGGGGGACAATGTGACACGGACTGCTAGCTGTCCACCAAAACCCATTCTTTCTCCCTTAGTATCAGAATTATAACTGGGCTGACAGCTGCCCAGCCACAGTAAATTTCCCAGCCCCTGTGCAAATAGAATGTGGCCTTGTGGATTAGGTATTTCCCAACAGAATGTAAGAAAAAGGGATATGTGTCTTCCCGGCCTGCACATAAAACCTGTCACATCAACCTCCTACTTCTGCCTCTCTCTCTTTCCTTTCCTATGGGCTATGAAGGTGAATACTACCGCAATTTTGGAAGCCACATTTTTTTTAAGTAAAGCTCTGCACCCAATGTGAGGCTTGAACTCATGACCCCAAGATCGAGTCACAAGCTCTACCACCTGAGCACCCCTGGCAGCCACATGTTGAAGAACATAGAACTACATCAGCCTGGGTCCCTGGCCTGGCTTGAGAAATAAATAAATAAATAAATTTCTATTTCGTTGAAATTTTGGGTCTATTTGCTATAGCATTTTGTAGTCAATTCTAATTAACGTAGAGGGGGAAATCAGGGAATAAGGAATAGGGAAGATTCAGAATTTGATACAGTCAGTGTGTGCATTGAAACTGGATCCCCCGAGAAAAGAAAGAGAGGCTGTGTTCCTTAAGAGGGCAACAGTGGGGCGCCTGGGTGGCTCAGTCGGTTGAGCATCTGACTTTGGCTCAGGTCATGATCTCGTGGTTCGTGGGTTCAAGCCCCGCGTCGGGCTCTGTGCTGATGGCTCGGAGCCTGGAGCCTCCTTTGGATTCTGTGTCTCCCTCTTTCTCTCTCTCTCTCTGCCCCTCCCTTCTCTCTCTCTCTCTCAGAAATAAATAATAAAATTTAAAAAAAGAAAAAGAGGGCAACAGAGATGGTATTAGAAAAACAAATCTGAACCATAATGTGAAGGGGTGTCATGGTTGGTGGGGCTCTGTAAGACCCGTCCATATTTACAAATATGCCATTAACCATATGGCCACATCAGACACTTTGTTACAAAGGTATGGGAATAAGGATGCATGTAGCTTCTCCATCCCTTGATGTCTATGTCGCACTTGAGGTGTGCAACATTGTTTCTTCACTGCCCCAGGCTCTCTTCTCAGAGAGTCTGTCCTCTTACTTAACTTCGTCTGCTGAGGGACAGCAGATTATATGACACTGTTCCCATTCTGATCCTGAAGTTGACCAGATGAGGGGAAAGCAGGTGTCCTATCTGACCTAAACTTGGCCAAATTCCTCTAATGAAAATTTGGAATCAGGTCTCAGAAACCGGTTAGTAAATTGTCAGTCAGAGATTAATAAAGTGATGCAGATTCAGAGCTGAAAGAGTTGTTTTAAGAAAGGCATCTTCAGGGGTTCCTGGGTGGCTCAGTCAGTTAAGTGTCTGACTTCAGCTCAGGTCACAATCTCACAGTCTGTAAGTTCGAGCCCTGCATTGGGCTGTGTACTGACAGCTCAGAGCCTAGAGCCTGCTTCAGATTCTGTCTCCTTTTCTCTCTGCCCCTCCCCCACTCACACTCTGTCTCTCTCTGTCTCCCAAAAATGATTAAGTTTTTTAAAAATTAAAAAAAAAAAAAAAAAAAAGGTATATTCAGGAGGCACCTGGGTGGCTCAGTCGGTTAAGCATCTGACTCTTGATTTCAGCTCATGACATGGTCGCACAGTTCATGAGATCCAGCCCCTCCTCAAGTTCTGCACTGACCCCACAGAGCCTGCTCGGGATTCTCTCTCTGCCCCTCCCCCACTGTGTGCCCCCCCCCCCCGCATAAATAAATTTAAAAAATTTTTCTTTATTTAAAAATATTTTTATGTTTGTTTATTTCTGAGACAGAGAGAGACAGAGCATGAGTGGGGGAGGGGCAGAGAAAGGGAGACACAGAATCCAAAGCAGGCTCCAGGCTCTGAGCTGTCAGCACAGAGCCCGATGTGGGGCTCAAACTCACAAACCGTGAGATCATGACCTGAGCCGAAGTCGGTCGCTCAACCAACTGAGCCATCCAGGTGCCCGATAAAAATTTGTTTAAAAGAGCGTTGTTATAAAAAAAAAAAAAAAGAAAGATATCTTCAGCCCACATGTGATGGAGATGCAGATAATGATCTTCTGTAGAGTTCCAGAAGAAAGAAACGGGCATGCAAAGAGAAGCAGTGAAGAGACCATGGGATTTAGAAAGACAGATAACCCTTAGCAACCAAAGACTCCCCAGGTTCTGGATCCTGCAACTCATGAGGTTCCTCTCCCTGGACTTAAGTTTTGTGGGACATCCCTATGTTTATAAAACAATTTCCCTCTTCTTTTCCAAGCTAGTTTGTTATGGGTTTCTGTTAGTTGAACCTGAGATGTTCCTGATGAACTCAATGGTTTACATATTTGAAAGCAGCTTCTCTGGTGTTACCACATTTGGCCCTTATAAGACAACCGTTACGAGGCCAATGCTATCACGTTGTCTTTCAGATGAAGTCCTAAAACGGAAGGCTGAGTGTTCCAAAGCCAAGGAAGAGAGTGAGGAAGGTACTAGAAGCAGCATGCCTGTTCTCATGAAGCAGAGTCCAGAGTCCATGGTGACAATACTTGAAGAAGATGCAAGGACTCCATAAATTTTATGACTGAGGCATCATTGCCTTAATTTACCTACAATGCACTACACTTTCCCCCATCTCTGGGGGAAATGAAAGTTAAATTCCTGGAAAGAAAAATAACATCTTTGAAAGAAATTGGGTTGCAAGAAGGGTATCAAACTGATATGGTGGGGTCATTCTTTAAAGAAAAAAGTGCATCAAGCATTTCTACTTAGAAAAAAATCTTCATTTTCAAGTAAAATATGGTAAGCAAGGGCAGATTTACTAGTATTGCTGGTTTCAAAAGAATGGAAAATAAATAGAAAAACCTGGAGTCATAACCACATACCTGATTTACATGATTTATTTACCTGATTTATTCAGCTTCCAAGACTGGAACATAAGTGGCCAACTTCTGTGAGTAGAATATGGAATTTGGGACAATAAATAGGTTCACCACCAATTCACTGTTTTCAATTACATTCTGTTCTTTAAATTGAGAAAACATGATGGGGAAAACCTCCTTCGATTATGATCTGTATTTAATTTATGCAAAATTACACCTAAAAGGGAGGGGAGTGCTCTTTTTCTACTCCTGATCACTCTCTGAATAATTATTCACATGAATATTTGTTCATTCCTTCATTCATTAAATTTTTAATGAGCCCTTACCAGATGCCAGCCTTTCTGGGGACACAGTGGAAAACAAAGATAGCCAAAGTCCTGCTTTCATGGAATTGAGCTTACACTCAAGTGTGAAAGGCAGACAATACACAAACAAATAAGCATAGTTGTCATGTTGTTACAAGTGCCAAAAGGAAACAAACTACTTTAGGGTACAGAGAGTAATGACGGCAGATGCAATATTAAGAGGAAAGGATTCTTTGATAAACTGACATTTGAATAGAGACCTGAATGAAATGAGGGCATGGACTATGTAATTTTCTATGTTCCAGGCAGAGGAAATAGCAAATCCAAGGGCCCTGAGGTAGGAATGTGCCTGGAATGGCTGAAGAACAATAAGGGAACGGTAAGCCAGAAATAAAGTAGGGCCTGGGAGGTAGGAAATGAAATCAGACAGTAAGTAGGAGCCCAGATTAAAGATTTTAGATTTTATTCCAATCAAGATAAGCCATCTTTGAGCTGAGAGTTTTGATTGGACTTTGGCTAACTTTAATCACTTTGCTGAGTGGGAAGCACTACAAAGAAGCAAGAGAGAAGCAGAAAGACCAGTGAGCAGACCATTGCAGCAATCCAAAAAGGAGGTCATGTCATTTGAGACCAGAATGGTGGCAGTGTAAGGAGAAAAAGGATAGACTTGATTGATGTGTTTTTAAAGACACAGCCAATGGGATTTGCTGAAGGATTGGAAATAGAGTGTGTGCATGAGTGAGAGGAGTCCATAATGATGCCAAGGCTTTTTGGCCTAAGCAACTGAAGAAAAGTTTGGCTATTTACTGAAACGGGGTTGGCTGAAGGATGGACGAATTTTGCTTTGTGTTAAGTCTGAGATATCCATAGACATCCAAATGGATGAGAGGCTGAGTAAGTAGATGTATACATGAGTCTGGAATTCAGGGGAGAGAGGTTTGTGCTGGAGATACAAATTTGGAAATTTTCAGCATTTAGATGACGGTACTAGAAGCCACAGGACCAGATAAGATCACCAAGGGAGTTTAGACAGAGAAGAGAAGAGGCCTGAACAGTAAGAAATCAAGAAGATGGGAGGATCTAGGCAAAAGAGACTGGAAAGGAGACACTGATGGAGTAGAAGAGAGCCTAGGGAGAAGTGACCCAGAGAGCAAGTTAAAGAATGTGTCTCAAGGAGGAGAGAATTACTGGTTCAAATGGTTCAATTGCTGCTGACAAGAAATAGGACTGAAGACCTACCACTAGATTTAGCCATGGAGGTCACTGGTAATCTGGACAAGAGTAGTTTTGCTAGACTGGAAGATATGAAAGCCTGACTGCTATCTATCCACATGAATAAAATATGCACACATGTACCTAGTCTAAGCAGAGGGTAGCTAGGTTCTAATATCAGGCATCAGTCTGGAAGCAGGCCAGGGGTGGGGTCTGAGCATTGGCAGATGGGAAGTAAACACATTATAAGGGTGCCTCCCATTGCTTACCTGCCCTACTTATTTCTTTGTATGGTTTCACAAGGCTTCCTTCAATATCTTTTCTTAACTTTCCTAAAAATTATCACGTCAACAAACTTCCTTAAACCTCTTTGAAAGGAATAGCTTTGGGAGCCTGTGCTAAGAGAATTAGTATGGAATTAGCTTTGCTTGGGAGTCTCATATTTCAACTAGCTAGTGTTCTGCATAGAAATTCATTGTACAATACAACAGCATCTTCTGTTCCCATCATAATAGACTGTCTTATCTACCAAATAAACAATGTAAGGCTCTAGTATAAATTCTTGGCATATCAAAAGGGCAATGAGTTGCATTTTTATTTATTTTTGACAAAAAGCCTTTCCTTACTCTGTCATAATGGTATTCTTCTACAAACCTCAATAATCTGCTTAGGATATTCCTGTGTCTGTGGAGTAATTAGATCTCCAGTGTCAAATGCAATTTGTTACCTTTTTCCTTAACTCAGGATTAGATTTTCTGACCTAGAATGTTTCAGAGTAGTTTTCCATCTCTTCCTTTATTGAAGAAACAGAAACATCCAGAATAGTTAGGCCCTCTGTGGCCACATGAGGACAGAAGAGGGTAAGTAATAAGATAGAATTCCCCCTCCCCCCCCCCCACCCCCCAGCATTCATCAGGCAGGAATGTAATTGACCTGCTGCGCTATTTAAACAGCACAGGAGGGCAGCACAAGGCCAGAACTGTCAGCCCTAATCCTGCAACTATGCCAAACCACAACCATATTTGTAATCTACTTTTTTTTTTTAATTTTTTTTTTCAACGTTTATTCATTTTTGGGACAGAGAGAGACAGAGCATGAATGGGGGAGGGGCAGAGAGAGAGGGAGACACAGAATCAGAAACAGGCTCCAGGCTCTGAGCCATCAGCCCAGAGCCTGACGCGGGCTCGAACTCACGGACCGCGAGATCGTGACCTGGCTGAAGTCGGACGCTTAACCGACTGCGCCACCCAGGCGCCCCTCTACTTTTTTTTTTTTAATGTTTATTTATTTATTCTGCGGGAGAGAGAGAGAGAGAGAGAGAGAGACCGAGTACATGAGCAGGGAAGGGCATAGAGAGAGGGAAAGAGAGTATCCCAAGCAGGCTCTGTGCTGTCCGTGCAGAAAAACCCAACTCCGGGATTCATCTCATGAACCGTGGGATCATGACCTGAGTCGAAATCAAGTCGGAGGCTTAACTGACTGAGCCTCCCAGGTGCCACTGTAATTTACTTCTTTTTTTTTTTTTTTTTTAATTTTTTTTTCAACGTTTATTTATTTTGGGGACAGAGAGAGACAGAGCATGAACGGGGGAGGGGCAGAGAGAGAGGGAGACACAGAATCGGAAACAGGCTCCAGGCTCTGAGACATCAGCCCAGAGCCCGACGCGGGGCTCCAACTCCCAGACCGCGAGATCGTGACCTGGCTGAAGTCGGACGTTTAACCGACTGCGCCACCCAGGCGCCCCTGTAATTTACTTCTTAAAATGCATACACAGAGTTTCAATCCCCACCAAATTTAAATTTTTTTTTTAACGTTTATTTATTTTTGAGACAGAGAGAGACAGAGCATGAATGGGGGAAGGGCAGAGAGAGAGAGGGAGACACAGAATCGGAAGCAGGCTCCAGGCTCTGAGCCATCAGCCCAGAGCCCGACGCGGGGCTCGAACTCACGGACCGCGAGATCGTGACCTGAGGCGAAGTTGGACGCTTAACCGACTGAGCCACCCAGGCGCCTCAATCCCCACCAAATTTAATTGAACTATAAATTTACATAGATCTTATTAAATGTTTTCAGATTATTTTATGTATTAATAATAGATACATTACTCACACAGTGATCTGAATTTAACTTTTATCAAAGCAGAGTGTTTTAATAGCTATGCAATCAAGGTAAGTATTATAACCCTTAACAAGTGAGGAAGTACAATAAAGATAAAAGGTGACTTATCTATGGTCACACACAATTAGGCATAAGGTCAATGTAACAACTTAAATCTGATTCTTTTCTACTAAACTTAGCTCTTTCAGAAAGTCAGCCTCTTCAACATATAAAAACACATATACTGCCTCCATGACATATTCACCTTGAATTCAGATATAAAATGACAGCCTTTTTTGTGTCTCCAGTGAGGCCAATTCTTATGCTCCAAACAAAATAAATACAAAGTAGATAGCACCCAATAGGTATTAGTGACCAATACGCATGATTCCAGTATAGCTCCAAGAGATACCTCCCACTGCATTCTAGTAGGGGTCCTAGATATGGTAGTTATGGAACCCATCAAGTCCACAGCCCCACCAAAGGTTATGGCATGGGCTCCTGACCAAGAGCTATGGTTTATAATGGGGCCTGATACAGAGAGCTCTGCCTGAAAGAAACAAGATGGTAATTAGCTAAGTCAATCTTATACTTTCACTCAAGATTTAGAACAAGGAAGTATAGCAAGAACCATAAGGTCATGGTGAAAAGAGAACAGACAGATGCAGAGAGAACACATGTAGGGACCCTGTAGTCACTATGTGCTAGAATGACAGACCATGGACTTCCTAGGCATAGGTGTCTAGAATTCCCAACATCCCAAATGAACTTTTGATTCCTGTTTACCTGGGACCCTTTCAAGGCCCCACAGTTTTGGCTTTGTATTTTCTAAGGACTTAGCAGTATGGCTAAGAACATGTGAACACACATGCACACATATCCCACACATTCAAGGTAACAAACGGGACTGTTCCTTACAACCAAAAGACTATATACCATCACCCACAGATATTCTTCACAATCAATATAAACCCACATTTAATCCCAACCAGGGTCACACGGAACATATGCTTATATGATCAAAGCTGTACTTCATTCACTCAGTATCTATTGATTACTTATGACATGGCAGGCATTATATGAGTGCGGGAGTTACAGAGAGAAATAAACAACAGAGACAAATAAGGCAAGGTCTCTACTTGAGGGGCTCCAAGCTCAGCAGGAAAGACATAGGAAGATTATACAAGAAACAAATTATACAAAATTTGGAAAAATTGTATACCGACTGCCTAAGTGGTAGATTCCCTTTTACTTGTATGTCATCCTGATAGGGCTCTTCTATCCAAGTCCAGTTTATCAGTTAACACAGATTTGTGTCAGCATATTGTACACCCAAGTGAATAGATGAGAACAGAATTAAATCATCATTCTTGAGTGCTTTGCTCATTGGGATGTAGAATGGTGTAATTAGATGGACACGGTTAATAATTACTACTTTCATCATGACCATTATTTAACGTGAGTGCTGGCTTCTCAGGAGTTTAAATGTGGTTTGATGTTTTA